CAAAGCTTATTAAGAAAATGTTCTGCATCCTACTTTGGTGAGTAGCATCTGGGGTCTTAAAAGCTTGCAAGCAGCCATCTAAGATGCATCAATTGGTCCCAACCACCTGGAGTAAAGGAGAATGAAGAACACCAAAGACACAAGGAAAGTAGTAGCCTAAGAGACAGAAAGGTCCATGTAAACCAGACTTCATCAGCCTGAGACCAGAAGAACTAGATGGTGCCCAGCTACCACCAATTACTGCCCTGACAGGGACCACAACAGAGAGTCCCAGATGGAGCAGGAGAAAGGTGGGGTGCAGAACTCCAATTCTGGTAAGAAGACCAGACTTAATGGTCTGACTGAGACTGGAGGAAACCCGAAAGCAGGGCCCCTGGATTCTCTATCAGCCCAGAACTAAAACAATTTCCGAGGCCAACTCTTCAGACAGGGATTGTCTGGACACTGGGACATAAAGTGATACTCACGAAGAGTGTGCCTCTTAGCTCAAGTAGATACAAGAGACTAAATGGGCAGCTTCTGTCTGGAGGGGAGATGGGAAGGCAGAGACGGTTAGGAGCTGGTTGAACGGACATGGGGAATCAGAGGTGGAAGGGAGGATTGTGCTGTCACAGTATGTGGAGAGCAATTAGAGTCACGTAACAATATATGTATAAGTTTTTGTATGGGAAAAAAATTAAAAAAATAAAAGATCATCTCTTCTGAAGCTTTTCCTGACTGGTCAGACCAAGTCGATACATTGTCTTTTCCTAGGACTTGCATTACACATTATATATACTTATTTCCATGAAGTTCATCATCATGCTGTATTACCTATGCATTTTAGTAAATTGCATAAGTAATTAGATAGTAAACTCCTTGAGCTACACAACCACAGCAGCAGGTCTGACTCATGATGTTGTTGTTGCTGTGATGTAGCAGCCTTTGACCCATGGCAACCCCAAGCACAATGGGATCAGACTGTTGTGATCTGTAGAGTTTTCATTAGCAGAATTTCAGGAAGTAGACACCCAGGCCATTCTTAGTCTCTTAGTCTGGAAGCTCTGCTGCAACCTGTTCACGGAGGATTCCACTGACAGAAGGGTGGTGGCTGTGCTTGAGTTGCATTGGCTGGGAATCACACACAGGTCACCTGCAAGGAAGGGGAGAATTCTACCACTGAACTACCACTGCCTCCTCTGACTCATGATAGCCACCCCCCCAACAAAAAAAAAAAAAACAAACCCACTGCCATCAAGTTGATTCCGACTCATAGCAACCCTACAGGACAGAGTAGAACTACCCCGTAGGATTTCCAAGGAGTACCTGGTGGATTCGAACTGCCAATCTTTCGGGTAGTAGCTGTAGCTCTTAATCGCTATGCCACTGGGTTTCCATGATAGACCCTCCATATTTGACAAGTTAACCACTGGATGAAACAAAATACTAGGAGCTGTATTACATATAAATGCCAGAGACTATTCATGATGTACAGGGTGGCAGAAAAATTTTATTACATGTGTGAACAGTTCTGAGTGGCAATGAGCCTTTGCTTGGAGGTAAAAAAGATTAACAGCTCTATGATGGAACAGTTGTAGTGTTTCCAACAGAAAATTCAAATATTTCAACTGTATTCCCTTCACCAAGAAGTGACTAAAACTGCAAGCCTTTATTTATAGCAGCTATCGTACTATATTAAATGAATGTTTTTTGATAAATCTGGTCCTGCAATCTACCTTTACTATTTATTAACTGTGTGACCTTGGGAATGTTCCTTACATTTCTGAGTTTCAGTTCCGTATCCATAAAGTTGGGATAATACTTCACAAAACTTTTAAAATTAAATTGTACATCAAAATGCATGTCTTCTTACAAATCTCACTTGCCTTCTCTGATGGCTAATTTTATGTCAACTTGGTGAGGCTATGGTTCCCAGTGGTTTGGCCAATCAGTAGACTAGCTGCTGTTACATGATGTAATTTAACATAATGTAATTATCTTTTATAATGTAATCTAATGTAATGTAACCAATCAATCAGTTGCAAAAGGAATTTCCTTAGGGTGTTGTGATGGTTAAGATTGTATGTCAACTTGGCGAGGCCATGATTCTCAGTGTTTTGGCAGTTGTATAATGTTGTGATCATTTCCCTACTGAAATCTGGTATGTGATCACCCCCGTGATAGAATCTGCTGAGTGGTACGCAGGGGTGGGGCCTACGGTGGCTCACCGCCCCCTCAGCCTTCATCTCTCTGCCCTCTGCGGGCTTCTTCTTTCCTGCTCAACTTGCCAAGGTTTTTGGCTTGTTCCGTCTCACCTCCGGTTCTTGGGACTTAAGCTAGCAGCTTACCTGTTGATCTTGGGATTCATCATTCTTCACAGCCAGTGAGCAAGAGTCCTGCTCCCCAACCTGCTGATCTTGGGTTCACCAGCCCCTGCAGCTACATGAATCAGGAGAAACCTTGCAGTCTTGCCCGCCGATCTTGGAATTTGTTGACCTTCACAACCTGTGAGCAAGAACCCTGCTCTCCGTCCTGCCGATCTTGGGTTCGCCAGCTTCTGTGGCTGCGTCATTTGGGAGAGGTCTATACCCTGATCCACAGACTTGGGATGTTCTAGCTTCTACAATCCCATGAGCTGTTTCCTTGATATAAATCTCCCTCTCTCTGTATTTATACACTTTACTGATTTTGCTTCTCTAGAGACCCCAGCCTAAGACAGGTGTGTTCTCTCACCAAGCTATATATAGCTACTTTGGCAGAACTTGCTCTCTCTTCACTCTGCAGTTTCCATCTCCTGACCTACAGATCTTGGGATGCAAGCCTAAGAATTTTGTACTTGTCAGGCCCCTACAATCTTGTGATCTAGCAGAAGTCTCCAGCCTGTCACCTGACATAAGGATTTGGGACCAGCCAGCCCTACAGTTGTGTAAACCAATCCCTCGAAGTAAATCTCTCTCTATAAACATTAACAACCTGTGTTATGCAAATGACACAACCTTGCTTGCCTAAAGTGAAGAGGACTTAAAGCACTTACTGATGAAGATCAAAGACCACAGCCTTCAGTATGGATTACACCTCAACATAAAGAAAACACAAATCATCACAACTGGACTAATAAGCAACCTGAAAAACGAAAAAAAGATCGAAGTTGTCAAGGATTCATTTTACTTGGATCCACAATCAATACCCATGGAAGCAGCAGTCAAGAAATCAACCAATGTATTGCACTGGCCAAATCTGCTACAAAAGACCTTTTTAAAGTGTTAAAAAGATGTCATTTTCAGCCCCATAAAACCAAATGAGACTAACGAGGTACAGTAGTCCAGTGACAAGGGCCAGAAGGCAGAAGGGGACAAGGAAGCTGGTGATAGGGAACCCAAGGTTGAGTAAGCGTATTGTTGATGTGTTGTGAGATTGTTAACCATTGTCATAGGGCAACATTTGTAGTAACTGTTAAATGATAAACTATTTTGTTCTGTAAGCCTTCATCTTAAGTGAGAATAACAGCACAATTGGAAGAGCACAGTCAATGTCACTGAACTGTGCATGTAGAAATTTTTGAAATGGTGTATCTTTGGCTATATGTATTTTCACCAAAAAAAAAAGGTTGAGAAGTTAGAGGGTTGACATGTTGTGGGGTTGTTAACCAATGTCATAAAACAATGTGTACTACTGTTTCATGAGAAACTATTTGTTCTGTAAGCCTTCACCTGAAGTACAATAAATAATAAATAAATCAAATAAATAAATAAAAGGTATCATTTTGATGACTAAGGTGTGCCTGACCCAAGCCATGGTATTGTCAATTGCCTTATATACATGTGAAAGCTGGACAATGAATAAAGAAGACTGAAGAAGAATCGACGCGTTTGAATTATGGTGTTGGTGAAGAATATTGAATATACCATGGACTGCCAAAGCACAAAACCTATCTTGGAAGAAAGTACAGCCAGAATGCTCCTTAGAAGCGAGGATGGCAAGACTTTGTCTCATGTACGTTGGACACTTTATCAGGAGGGACCAGTCCCTGAAGAAGAACATCATGTTCAGTAGAGGGTCAGCGATAAAGATGAAGACTCAACGAGATGGACACAGTGACTCCAACAATGGGCTCAAACATTGCAATGATTGTGAGAATAGCTTAGGACCAGGCCATGTTTCATTGTTATACATGGGGTTGCTATCAGATGGAACCAACTCAAGGGCACCTAGTAACATAAATATATGTTATCTCACTGCTTCTGTTTCTGTAGACAACCTTAAGACACCTTCCATTTCTTCAGACCTGAGGTTTTATCTTTAGCATCCTTTTGCTTCTTAAATATCTTCTGAGATTTAACTTAACCATTATTAATATTTTTTCAAACTCCAAAGTCTAAGGAAGTTTTTGAGCTATATAGAAATCAGAGCAATAGGAAGTACTTGTGGTTTTACGCAGGTCCCCGGGCCCTCTTTCCTTCACCATTCTCTTAAACAGCATCTGCTATCACCATTTCCAGGTATAAAAATATTAAATTGCCCATATGCACCTTGATTTTAGAGACATTTCTATGACTAATGAAAAGCTTTCAACAAATATTTACGTACTACGAAGAATATAACATATTAATAAGATAGTTCAGCTTGGGTCTATTATGTGTTAGGCACCTTGTTAAGTGCAATGAGTAAAGAAAACCAAAGTGCCTAGACCACAGTTACCCATACTGTTTACAGATACTAAAACGTCAATCACGTAAATCTGAATCAAATGTGGTATTCTTTGTTAATGAGGAAGAACATTCAATGTGCTCATACATTAGTCTTAGGCACCTTGGAGAGGGCTTTAACTCATAGCCACCTTATGTATAACAGAACAAAACAGTGCCATTCTCACAATCATTGCTATGTTTGAGTCCATTTTGCAGACTAGTAGAGCCCTGGTGGCACAGTGGTCGAGAGGTAGGCTGCTAACCAAAAGGCTGGCAGTCTGAATCCACCAGTCGCTCCCTGGAAACCCTCTGGGGCAGTTCTACTCTGTCCTGTAAGGTTGCTATGAGTTGGAATTGACTCGACGGCAACAGGTTTTAATAGCGTACGAAATTCTATTTACCCATATAATCTCAGTATGTTTTCAGAAAGTATATGTATATAAAAACAGACTAAAAGAAAATACATGAATCAGGATTATCTCATTATTTCTAGGCAACAGAATCATTTACTACTTTCATTCTATGTAGTTTCCACATTTTCTATTAAAAACACATAATGATTAATATCAGGCCAAACTGCAAGTCGAATCCTTACTGGGAGTGAGATAGGGAAGGGAAAGAGGGACTGAGCTCCTGGGCAAAGGACCCTGAACTAAAAACATGTGCTTAACTAATGACACAAAACCCATTATCTTGGAACATGCAATAATGAAAGAACAACCCACCCAGCTCTCAATGTATTTCCTTAGTGTTTTTCAGAAGAACCTGCCCGATCTTGTCCCTGGAGCATGCGCAGACATCCACAAAGTGGCTGACAGACCCGCGACGGGAATCGAGCTGGCACCACAGGGGAACTGTAGAGGCGCAGCACCCCATAATAAGTCCTGCCATCCAGTCCCAAGAGCCTTTGTTACGGGTTCCACTTGAATTATCTCTTCTGCGCGCACCTAATCTTCATAACCCCGCCTCTTTCATGAATAAAGATGATGCCTTTTCCCCGCCTAAAAAACTTTATAAACCCTAGTCAATCCTTTATTCAGGGAGACAAAGGCTAGCACTGTATTGTCCCTCTGTCTCCGCTTGCGAGCTACTTTTTCTCAATAAAGTTTTGTTTGTGCAGAAAACTTGAGCCTCTCCTGGTCATTCTTGGTCAGTAGAAGGCAAGAACCTCATAGGGGTTGCCCAGGTTGGGCAGAAGACCCCGGCAACAGGAGAATGACTTTGGACAAGCTCCTTAATTGTTTCCTCAAGGCTAAAATCAAAATAGCCCCAACTTCATAGAGCTGCTGTATTTGGTAACTAACACTTGTAAAGTGCTTAACTACTTTTATTACATTCAGAAAAAAGTTATTTTAAAAAACAGCTTAAATTAGTGAGTTGTATGGTATGTGAATTAAACCTCAATAAAGCTGTTTTTAAAAATACACCTACATGTAACAGTTCTGAAAAATATCTTTTACTTCATTTAAATGTTCACTTCTAGTAGTCAAAATCACAGCAGAAAATGCTACTTTTATGAGTATGTCTAATGAGAAAAAGCTCACAATTCCGTTAAGTTTAGGAGATTAATTCTGACAGACGATAAACACACTGATACTGCATTTTCAATCCCCCATCAAGTGTATCTTTAAGGACAGAACCGAAACCATAAAGTTTGGAGATTTATTGTAGCGTTCATCCAAATAAGTTTCACATCATCTGTGACCCAGGGAATCACCGGTATTTCCCTAACAGACTGAAGATGCATGAAATACAATGCCACAGTGATTTATATGCAGACCACTATGCTCATGTTTTGTTTGTTGTTTTTTTAAAAAAGCTGGTTCAATAGCTCACATTTTTCTAGTGGTTTTCACTTCCGGGATCAGGTGAAGAGAGGGCCCTGTAACCTATAAAACCGAAGAGCGGAGACTCAGGACCATTTCTTGGTGACATTGAGATGGTTGAGCTGGTCTACAACAAATCTATGCGGGGGAAACTTGGAAGTGCTGCTTGCCTTGATGGCCGCGAAGGTCTCTGCCCTGCGGATTGCAGCGTGGCCGTACTCCTGCTCCGCCGTGAGGTAGGGCATGCTTAGCCAATAATGGTTCTCCGCCTCGATCTCCAGGCGACGGATCATGTTCTGCTTCGCATGGAAAGACACGGTCCGCGGCCTCCGGTGCTTCCCGATCCACTGTCTTCCAGGAATGCGACTGCGGCGTAGGAGAGCGGTCAGGAACATGGTGCCTGTTGGGGAGAGGGGTTAGAAGCGGAATCAAACTGGCAGCCCACCGGGGCCGAAGAGAGAAACCGGGCACGCGAGCCCTGCTCACTCGCCATCTCAGACCCAGGAACGCGCGCTGCCACCCGAACGAAAATGGGGAACCAGCTAAGGTCGACAGGCGAAGAAGGGGACTTCCAAAGTACCGACGTACGACCAGCAACTCACCAGCCTACTCCCCAGTGCTCTGGCTGCCCACCGGAAGCTAGAGGACACTGCAGCGAAAACACGCCCGCCTCCTGGGACCGTCTGCCGCTTCTCGAGAGCCTCTAGCTCTCGCGAGAGAGGATTTGTGCGTCTCGTCGGAAGTTTCCGGCGACGTGAGATTCAAACTGGTCGCGGGCGGTGAGCCGCGGTGAGCTAGCTGTTCCGCCGGATTCCTGTTTTGGGGCAGCTTCTCTGTCCTCGCCAATGGATCTCATCCGGAACTTCTACGGAAAACTGCGGTCTGTGGCCATTACCCTGGACAGCGAGACGGCCCGGCTGCAGCGGGCGCTGAACGGAGAGGAGAGCGGTGAGTGAGGTGGCAGGTCCAGGCGCTGAGGGCGTCTTCGTGCTGAAAGTCGGGCGGGTCAGAAAGTCATCAAACAAATACAAATAAGTAAACCTACAGATGTGGTTATGTATTCATTTATGTGAGAAGTGCTTCGAAAGAGATAAGGGGCAAGGGCGGGGTAGGTGCACATATCAAAATGCTCAGTTAATCTTTGTCGGTAACAGCTCCAAGGTGCCACCTTTTTATTATTCTTATGGCCCCTCAAGTGTGATGTCTCTGTTTTTAGTTCCCTGTACAGCCACGATTCTCTCCTCAAATAATGAAAGTAGCATTATTATTATGTTACTAAGAAAAACAGCTGCACTTTTGAATAAAAATCGAAATTAAGTTGACAGATTGAGCTGATAATGCATACACTAATTTATACATGATATGCTTTCAAGGCGGGAGAAAGACCTGGCGATCTGCTCCCATGAAGATTATAGTCTAAGAAACCCTATAGGGCAGTTCTGTCGGCCATATAGGCTCGCTAGGAGTCAGAATCGACTGGACAGCACAGGATAACAACAGTATGTTTTCAAGTCAGCTATAATGTTATATGCTTATCAATAAAAATAAGGTACACAAAATCAAGCAATTTCTTTTTGAAATGTAGCTATTTAGCGTTGTTCTTTGCATGTATCCAAGTGGTCCACAGTTGCAGTAAACTTCTGCATTTTTGCCAATGAACTATATTGCCTACCCAAACAATAATACTCAATATTATTTTTCTTTATAAATAAAGTAGAATTCACTGTCACGATCCTTTGTATTAGAGATTTTTCCTTTTTTTTTTGTTTGTTGTTGTAGTTTAAGTGACAGTTTACAAGTTAGTTTCTCATACAAAAATTTATACATATGTTGTTACATGACCCTAATTGATCTCTCTATACTGTGATAGCACACTCCTCCTTTCCACCCCTGATTTTCCATGTCCATTCAGCCAGCTGCTAACCCTCTCAGCCTTCTCATCTCACCTCTGGACAGAAGCTGCCCATCTAGTCTCATGTATCAACTTGAGCTAAGAAGCACACTCTTCACAAGGATCATTTTATGTCCCACAGTCCAGTCCAGTCTTTGTCTGAAGAGTTGGCCTTGGGAATTGTTTTAGTTCTGGGTTGGTGGAGAGTCCTGGGGCCATACTTTCCGGGGTTCTGGTCTTTTTACTAGAATTTGAGTTCTGCAGCCCACCTTTCTCCTGCTCCATCAGGGACTCTCTGTTGTGTGCCCTGTCAGGGCAGTCATTGGTGGTAGCCAGGCACCATCTAGTTCTTCTGGTCTCAAGATGATGCAGTCTGTATTAGAGATTTTTTAAAGTTCTTGCAAGAGTAGTTCAGATTTTGAGTCGTACATAAATGTCATAAATGTAATGTTTCTGATAATGTTGCACTCTATAGATGCAGACTCATTTTACTTCAATTATATTTGTTGTCTAACCATGTGTAAAAATGTTTATTTTTGTGACTGTAAAAACAATACATATGGGGAGAGGGAATAATAGGGAGTTATTACTTAAGGGATACAGAGTTTCTGGTTGGGGTGATGAACTTTGGGAAACTTGTGATTGTTGTGCAGCATGGTGAACGTAATTAATGTCACTGTACACTTAAAATAGTTGAAGTGGCAAATTTTTTGTCATATCCTTTACACAATAAAATAAAAACAAAGACAAAACTCTGCTGGAAAGAAACATGTTATTTAACCCAGAAAAAAGGGGGAGAGGGTTCCTAACTCTCTGTATTCTCTTTTCTTTGTTTCTATAAATTTCAAATTGTTCTAAAAAATAAAACCTATTAAAAAAAATAACCAATATATGTGCATTGTAGGAAATTTGAGATATGGAAAAGAAGAAAATTAATATTCTCCATAACCCCACCATCAAAGGACACCACTATTGATATCTTGGAATCCCTGAATGATGTAAACAGTTAATGTGACTGCTAACCAAAAGGTTGGAGGTTTGAGTCCACTTTAGACACCTTGGAAGAAAGACTTGGCAACCTACTTGTAAAAAATCAGCCCTTGAAAACTATGGAGCACAGACGTGGGGTCTTCATGAATTGGAGTCAGTTCCGTGGCAACTGTTTTTTTTTTTTTTTTAATTGATAAATATAAATTAGTATGGTATTTGATAATTATAGTAGATTTTTTTATCATTCTTATTTTTTAGATGTTTTGTTTTGCTTTTGTTTACATAGTTGAGACCATACTGTAAGAGTGTGGAATTGTAATAGCTAAAGAAAATGATCACAGAAAATTTCACCGTTCCTGAACATGGGGATGAATCATAAATTGTTTGAGTTCTTTTTTTTTTAATTGTAAATATATAAGTAACAAAACATTTGCCATTTCAACAATCTTCACATATACAATTTAAAAACAAAACAAAAGAAACTTCTTGCCGTTGAGTCGATTCCAACTCATAGTGACTCTATAGGACAGAGTAGAACTGCCCCGTAGGGTTTTCAGGAAGTGGCTGGTGGATTCGAACTTCTGACCTTTTGATTAGCAGCCGATCTCTTATCCACTGCACCACCAGGGCCCCTCTGTTTAGTGACATTAAATATGTTCATCATGTTGTTCAACCATCCCATTCCTGATTTTTTTCCATCACCCTTTAAAAGAAACTCAGTGTCCCCTAAGTGTATGTAACTCACCACTGGTAACCACTAATAAACTTTGATCTCTATACATTTGTCTGTTCTAGATATTTCATATAAGTGAGATCATAAAGTATTTGTCCTTTTGTGACTGACATAGTTCACTCAGCATAGTGTTTTCAGTGTTTACCTGTGTTGTAACATGTATCAGCACATCATTTCTCTTTATGGCTGAGTAATATTCCATTGTATGTATGTACCACATTTTGTTTATGCATTCATCTGTGGATAGACATTTCAGTTGTGTCCACCTTTTGACTATTGTAAAAAATGCTGCAGTGAACAGTGGTATACAGATTTCTGTTTGCATTCCTGCTTTTATTTCTGGGTAGGATTGGGATTGCTAGGTCATGTGGTAGGTCTGTTTAACTTATTGAAGTACCACCAAATTCTTTTCCACAGTGGCAGTTCCATTTTGCATTCCCACCAGTAATGGATGAGGGTTCCAATTTTTCCACATCCTTGTCAACACCTTGTAGCCATTCTAGTAGGGACAAAGTGGTATCTCACTGTGGTTTTAATTCGCATCTCCCTAGTGACTAATGGCGTTGAGCATCTTTTCATGTGTTGGCAGTTTGTATGTCCTCTTTGGTGATCATTATTTTTTATTGCTGAATAATATTCCATTGTATAGATATACCACATTTTATTTATCCGTTCATCTATTGACAGACATTTGGGTTGTTTCCACCTTTTAGCTATTATGAATAATGCTGCTATAAACATTTGTGTACAAGTTTTTTACGAGAGCATGTGTTTTCAGTTCTCTAGAAGTGGAATTGCTGGGTCATATGTTAGCATATGTATGTGTAATTTTTTGAGGAACTGCCAAACTGTTTTCCAAAGTGGCTACTCCATTTTATATTTCTACCAGCAATGAATAAGGATTCCAGTTCTTCCACATCCCCCCAAAGCTTGTTATTGTCTAACAAGCCATCGTAGTGCGTGTGAAGTAGTATCTCATTGTGGTTTTGATTTGTATTTCCTTAATGAAAATTGGTTGACTTTTAACAGTGGAAGAAGAAGGAGATCTTCAAAGGAGTCATGTTTTAGAAAACATATATTTGACCAGCTGATTAACGACCAAGGAGACAGAACAGTGGGTAAAGGTTATCTTTTCAGTAAATAAAGCCAGTTCAGTTGGATATCTATATAGAAAAATTTTGATCCCTATCTCATGTCATATGCAAAAATCAATTCCAGGTGAATTGTAGCTCCAAATGCAAAAGGCAAAGCAAAGCTTTTAGAAGAAAGCATAAGAGAGTATTGTCAATGGCAAATACTTTTTATAGTAGGAACCAAAAAGTGCCCACATTAAAATAAAAATTGATAAATAGGACTACATTAAAGTTAAGAACTTATATTTATCAAAAGACACGAGAGAATGAAAAAGCAAACTAGAGTCGTGGAAGGTACTGTGATACAGATATCTGACAAAAGTCTTATATCCAGAATTTATAAAGAGTCTTACAAATAAGCAAGAAAAGGCTGATAACAAAATAGAAAAATGGCTAAAATCTTAAATTGGCACTTCAAAAGAAAGGATCCTCAGGTGGCCAGTGAGCATGTGAAAAGTCATTAACTTCAGTAGTCATCAGGGAAATGCAGATTAAATCCCAAGGCAATACAGTTACACACCCGCCAGGATACTAAAATGAAAAAGAAAATACCAACTGTTGGCAGCGATGTGGAACAAATGAAACTTTCCCATATACTGCTGGTGGAAGTGTAAATTGTAACACCACTTTGGAAAACTGGCAATAGCTACTAAAGCAGAATATGTGCTATATAATGCAGCACATTTTATAGATCTTGAGCATACGTAAATGTGAATATAGGCCCCAAAAGACATGTACGGGAAGGTTCAAAGCAAGAGTATTCATAATAGTACTAAACTAGACACCATTCAAAGTCTATCAACAATAGAATTGGCAAGTAAGTTTGGTATAATCACACTGTGGAATACTATACGGTAATGAGAATGAACAGATTAGGCTATGGATGAACATAACGTTAAGTGAAAGAAGCCAGTCAGAAGAGAATACATACTGCATGATTCCCTTAAATAAAGTTAATAAATAGGCAAAACTAATTCATGATGTTAGAAATCAGGGTAGTGGTTATTCTTGAGGGGAAAGTAGAGACTCCAAGAGAGAGTTTCTGAAGTTCTGGCATAGCGGTTAAAGCACTCAGCTGCTAACCGAAAGGTCAGCGGTTGGAACCCACTAGCTGCTCCACAGGAGAAAGATGTGGTAGTCTGCTTCCATAAAGACTGCAGCCTTGGAAACCCAGTGGAACAGTAGGGTCGCTATGAGTCAGAATTGACTCAACGGCAATGGGTTTCATAATGCTCAGTTTCTTGATCTGAGCGCTGGTGATTGAGGTATGTTCGCTTTGTAAAGTTCACCAAGCCATGTACTTATGATTTGTATACTTCTGTATGTATACTATAGTTCAATTAAAGCTTACATTTTTAAAGACTTTAATATTTTTGTTAGCAATGGACACGATATAAATTATAAATAAATATCTACATGGATTTTACAATTCCAAGAAACGGTACTAAATTATATTTTCTATTCTGTTTCTTTTCCTTTCCTCATGTGTATTCAATATTCATATTGAAGGGTTTGAAGATTATGCAGTGAAGATTTTACATGACCTGCATTCAGAAGTCTGGACTTTAAAGGTAGCACTGCTACAATATTAATTTGTCATTTTTCTGTTATGTGTAATTTTTATTAATCTAAATAGACTTAGTCAACAGAGAAGTTCTAATGTACTTTCTTTCCTTGTGAAAGGAGGATGTTACTATTCTTCTTCATAAAGCAAGCTTAGAAAGTCAAGAAAACACTGATTTCATAAAGGCAACCAAGGTACTGATGAAAAGAAATTCAGTGGATATCATGAAAATAAGAGAGTTTTTCCAGAAGTATGGATATAATCCACGGGCGAAGGAAAATTCAGGTTTGAATCACTTTCATTTTATAGCATTTGTTTTTGTATTTTAAAAAAAAGCAGCATGATTAAGTCAGTCAGCTGTAGGCTTGGCAAAGGTTTCTAGTTCTGGCTGTACCATTATGTGACTATCATTTGATAAGCACTTATTGAACACTCAATGTGTGCTGGATGCAGTGCTGATCTGTGGTAAAGAACACAGTCCTTGCGCTATTTGCCAAAATGCTAGATGAGAACTAACACAATGCTAAATGGAAGAATTCTTTGAGCTGCTTAGGATAAAAGTACAATATAAATCTTTGTGACTTAGAATAGGTAGTTTTAGTCCAAACTGCAGCTGATGATGGGGATGGCGCAGGACTAGGCAGTGTTTCATTCCATTGTGCATGGGATCGCCATGAGTCGGGGGCCAACTGGATGGCAGCTAACAACAAAGTCAGCTCTGCTCATCAATAGCTGAGTATCCTTAGGCATGCTATTTCATTTTTCTTGTTCTCAGTTTCCTGAGTCGAACTGCCTAGGTTCAAATCTCTGTTCCACCACTTACTAGCTGTATTATCTCTGGCAAGTTACTTGACCTTGTGCCTCAGTTTCTCATCTACACAGTAAGGATGTTTAATGGTATCTACCTTATGAGTTTGTATAAAGATTAAATGAGACAGAATTTGCTTAGAGCAGTGCCTGGCATGTAACAGTCACCCATTGTTAAATATTGTTGTTACTGTTGTGCCTGTAGTTATGAATGATTAGTTTCAATATGCTTCAGTGTATTCACTTCTATTACAAGAATGAGCTCTGTAACATCGCTCTTACTTTATAACCTGGTGAAGAACCAGATGGTATCCGGTGGAAAACCAGCACCATGAGTTTAAACAGCCTGCAATGGCCGCCATCTAGGGGCTCGACTAAGTCCAGGTATTGATCATCGATGTGTTATCTCCAATCTCCGATCAAAAGGAGGGACTGATTTAGGAAATAATATTGGAGTTATTATTCCGTCTCCTTGAGCATACAGAATGTGACCCAGCTGAAGCTGGGCTCACAAGGGCTCACAAGGATTCACAAGGACACATCAACTGGGCCCTGAGGTATAAAGACAATAGCTAAGATAATCTTGGAAAACATCTTAAGGAAGTTTTCACAAAAGCCCATCAAACAGAACACCAAAGACTTTCCACTCTTATCTTTTTCTATTAGCATTTAGTGAATAGAAATTTGTTGGACCAGTGAAGACCCTCCTGACTTTCGTAACTGAAACCAGTACCAATGATGGTTAACAAAGATGATTCAAAATGTAAGATTATAATTTCTAGCCAATCAGTGAAAAAGTGATGCTTTCAATGATTCTACCCATTTTGTGATGTTGATATATACTGATGGCTCTGTAACTGTTCTTTGGATTCAGGCAGACATGGCTGTGGCAGCATGCTTGTCCATTTTCCCATTCTTGCCTATTCTGTGATATTCTTTGGACTCGGGCAGACATGGCTGTGGCAGCATGCTTGTCCTCTTCCCACTTTTGTCCTTTTGAATATATGCCAAATAAAACTTTCTTTTTACTTTAAAAAAAAAAAAAAAAGAATGATCTCTGTACATAAATAAAACATTAATTAAACAAATATTCATTGGGGATGTGTATGCAGAAATGTTATTAAGAACATATACTAAATAGTCCATATGGTATAATAGAAAGAAGGCAGTTGGCTTTGATGTGACAGAGCCATTAATTCAAATTCTGGCTGCACTACCTGTGTGACCTTGGATAATTTCTTTAAATTGCTTTTTCCTCACTTGTAAAAATGGGGATAATAATAACCCCTGAACCCACCAGCCATTCCACAGGGGAAAAGACTTGGCAATCTGCTCCCATAAAGATTTCAGCCTAGGAAACACTATGGGGCAGTTCTACTCTGTCCTATAGGGTTGCTATGAGTTGGAATTGACTAGACGGCAAACAACAACATGGGTCGTGAAGATCCCTAGGTGGCGCAAACGGTTTGCACTCGACTACTAACGTAAAGGTTGGTAGCTTGAACCCACCTAGGAATACCATGGAAGAAGGGCCTGGTGATCTATCTGCTCCCATAAAGATTAAAGCCAAGGAAACCCTATGGATTGGTTCTACTCTATGACACATGGGGTCGCCATGAGTTGGAATCAACTCAACAGCAGTGGTTTTTTTTTTTTTAAGGGTAGGATAATGGTAATAATTTTATTTTATTTTATCACTGACAGTCCTGTGATAAATAACAACAGTAGAATTTGGGTAGTTTTGTAGCATCTTCAGAATTAACAGAAAGCACAATACCACAACAGAACTCAGTGAATCAGTAGCTCTTCTAAGGGCCAAAACCCAAGAAATCAAAGTGTAAAACCTATTAATGGTTACGAAACTACATATCTTTCAAATGCGCTTCCATTGTTTTTCTCAACCAGGCTTTTGATATAGATTGTTCCAGACTGAACTCAGGGAAAAAATTTATCTTTGTAGAGCAGTTTTTCGTTTCTAATTTAATCATCTGAAAGGCAAAAATCTAAAATAATACTAGTATATTTTGTATTAAATCTAGAACACAGTTAACTCCACACTGTAATTAATGTCATCTACATGGTATTAAGAAAGACTGTTGTAAATTACATTAACTCTGAGGAAGTAAGGAAATTGGACTTTTGTTTCAAGATACTAATTTTTCAACTTTTAACACTTTTTTTACTTCCCTGCTCCAGCGTATCATCAACATGGGATACGGGTGGACAAGAGAAGTTTACCTAATGTTAGAAATTTACCTAATGGGCAATTAAAATAAAATATTTAGAAACCAAGGAGAGAATTAGGATTTTTACTGATTTGGGAAATTTCAAATGGAGCTATTTTTTGTGGTTTTAGTGGATTCAGGTACATGAGATTTTGTGTTTTGATATATGACCAGAATGTTTTCTCTTTGATTTTTCCCCTTAGTGGATGAACATGAAATCATTAACTCTAAACCCGAATTGGCTAAATGTGATAATCTTCAAAAGCCTGATAAGAAGGATGATCTGTCTGATTTTACTGTTCCAAGCAGTTTTATTTCTGAGATACCTCCACGCAGTCCACAACTTTCAGATTTTGGACTTGAGCGGTACATGATATCCCAAACTCTGCCAAATCATCCACAAGAAGTAAATAACTGTAAGGAAGAGCTAACAATTTTCTCTCCACCTACCAAACAGTCACCAACTACAGTACTGAAAACTCCAAAGTGTGCACTAAAGATGGATGATTTTGAGTGTATGACTCCTAAATTAGAACACTTTGGTATCTCTGAATATACATATTTAAATGAAGATTATACAGTGGGGCTTAAACATGTGAAAAATAATAAAAGGTAAGCAGCTTTCTTAAGGCTCTTGCATGATACCTTATGAAAAAGACACATTTTATCTAACTTTCTAAATATTTTGCATTTATTGATTTTTCCTAGAAGAAATACAATGTTTCAGACTATATCTTTCCTTTCAAATCTCCCTGAATCAACAATTATACCAGTAAATTGTAAGCTCTTGGTTTCTTTGGGTTAGGAGCCCATAGCAAGAGTGATAAGGATCTGAAAAAAAAGATATTTGTAGTGATAGAGAAGAGGGGGTAAAATTAGTGAGAACTTACAATTGATTTGTCATGGAGACTTAGGAAGAAAGGGATATCAAGGATAAATCCCAGATTTCTGTTTGCTTGCCTGAGACGATGCTAGGGAAAACAAAAAGATAGGAATACCTGCAGCTTGGGATAAAAGTGAGGTGTTTACTTTAAAAACCTGTTGCCGTCAAGTTGATTCTGACTCATAGCGACCCCATAGGACGGAGTAGAACTGCCCCATATGGTTCCCAAGGAGTGCCTGGTGGATTCGAACTGCCGACCTTTTGGTTAGCAGCTGTAGCTCTTAACCACTGTGCCACCAGGGTTTCAGTGTTTACTTTAGACAAGTTAGTTTTGAGTTAACCTTAGGCATTTTGAGTTGCTTTGTAAGCTCAGGTATTTTAATATGAATTTGAAGCTCAGAGATGAGACCAAAAAGCTTTGGGGGTGATTAGCTTGGAAATGATAATTAAAACCATAAGAGTTACAATGAAAATGAAATTACCACATATCAATATAGCCAAGCAATACCTAAAGTTAAATCCATATTGTTAAGAAATTTCATTACTAAAGAAGGAAAATAAACCTTCAAGTCAAAAAATGAAAAAAAAAAAAACCCAACAATTCTGGGGGAAATAGAAGGGAAGAAACACTAAAGATAAAACAAAATGTCGTTACAAAAAATTTTTAGAAGGGTAGATAAATCTAAGAACTGGTTCTTATTTAAACAAATGCAAATGACAAAATTAGGAACTAAGGGCTATATATTTTTATTTCTTAAACTATGAGAAACTACTATAAGGTGTAGTGCTGGGAAATTTGAAATCTTCAAATACATGAAAATTTTTTGAAGAACAGTACAAATGATCAAAATTGATGTAGAAAGTTTGAATAGACCCAATAATCAAAGAAGAAAACAAAAAGTTATCAAAGAGCTAGTCCTGAAAAGCTCTATGCCCATTACTTTCCTGAATGAATGCTTTCATAACTTCACAGAACATATAAGTTCCATGTTTTATAAAAAGTTTCTTTTTTCTAAAGCTAGAAAAAGAAAACTCTTCAGTTTAGCTTATGAAATTGATATAGCCATGATAAAACCTGACAAAGCACCCAAAAGAAAACTATTGCCCCATCTACTTTATGAATACAGATGTAAAAGTCCTAATTAATATACTCACAAATGGAATTCACCAGAATATTAAAAGTATAATGAATAACTTCCAAGTTAAGCTTATCCCAGGAATGCAAGCATAGTTTAATATTTGGGAACTCATATGATAACACTATTTCTATGATTCGATAAGGGAAATAAAAAAAGTAGGATAATCTCAATAGATGCCAATAAGGAATTCTATAAAATTTGACCTCATTCTTGATTTAAAATGTTTGGGTACTTCCCTAACGTGCTAAAGAATACCAGTACCTAACTTAATAGTGAAGTTTGCTGTCACCAACATCATTCTTGATGGTCTGGCATATGTAATGAGATATGAAACAGAAGTAAGTATTTCTGTTGTGTTTCTAGACAAGTCAAGAATATCAGGTAAAAAACTCTTCGAAATAATAAAAGCTCAAAAAAGAGGCAGATATAGGGTTTTTTTATATAGTTATATAAAATAGCTATTTAAAATAATATGTTCTCCTATATTTCGTTAATAGTTGGTAGATATTATAAAAAAAAAAACATTCAAAATTTCTACAAAAAGAAAATGATAATACCCATCCAGTCATAAGTGAAAGACCTATATGATGAAGACCATAAAATATTTCAGAGTTATATAAAGGGGTAATTAGGATGAAAAAAGATATTATATTTCTGAATAGGATGACTGAATATTGTTGTCTATAAAATTAATTTATAGGTTTCATACAATACAAAGGCTCCATAGAATTTTTCTTTTAAGATGGAGAAAGATATCTGACAAAATGACTAAAATTTGTTTGGAAGAATAAAACATGAGGATAGCTTAAAAAAAAGGATTGAGGAATAACAGCAATGAGTGGTATTGATGTATTACATATTAAAATATATAAAGCTACATACAGTAAGTCAAACAGCACAAAACTGGCATGTATCATTGAAACAGAATAGCACAGAAACAGACTCTAATTTATATAGGAATGTAAGGTGGTACAAAGAGTTAACATGCTTTGCTGCTGACCAAAATGTTAGAGTTTGTGTCTACCCAGAGGTGCTTTGGAAGAAAGGCCTTGCGATCTACTTCTGAGAAATCAGCCCATTGAAAATCCTATGGCACACAACTCTACTCAGACACACATGGGGTTGTATGAGTCTGAACCGACTTGATGGCAGCTGGTTTTTGTGGAGTCCCTGGGTGGTGCAGACAGTTAGGCACTTGACTACTAACTGAAAGATTGGCAGTTTGAACCTACCCAGAGGAGCCTCTGAAGAAAGGTTTGTTGATCTGCTCCTGAAAGGTGACAGCCTTGAAAACTCTGGAGCACAGTTCTACTCTGAAACATGGAGTCACCATTAGTTGGAATGGACTTAACGGCAACAGGTTTGTGTTTTGGTTTGAAGTTTGAAGTTGTTTTTGAAGTAAAAATTATTCAATAAATTATGCTGGGATAATTGGTGAACTGTTTGAAAAAAATAATCTTTGTCCCATGTCAAAATAAATTGCAGGTAGTTAAAAAAGATAAATGTTTAAACAAACCATTTAAAAATAGAAGAAAATGTAGATGAGTTATCCATTTAAACAATGAAAACAAGTACGTAGGAAATTATTAATGCACAAAATAGTCAGATAGTAGATTTTTTACTATTGTTGTAAATACGAAATGTGGGATAACGAGATAGTCCATAAGTGAGGAGTAGGTGTATTTGTAATTGTATAAAACCTATAAATTAATTTGACATGACATCTTAACAATACTCAGTCATTCCATTCAGTATTATAGAATGGAACACAAAAAAATATAAAACATAAAAAAGAAACAAACCCAATAGAGTATTACTCAGCCATAAAGAGGAAAGAAGTGCTGGTGCATGCCACAACATGGATGAACCTTGAGGGCATTATGCTGAGCGAAATAAGTCAGACATAAAAGGACAAATACTATATGATACCACTTATATGAAATGAGCAAATATATAGAAACCAAAAGTGATTACAATTGGCCCTCCCTATGTGGGTTCTGCATTCGTGGACTCAACCAACCACGGATCAAAAGTACAGCAGTCCCCAGTTACTGTGGTTTTGCTTTCCATAGTTTCAGTTACCCATGGTCCTGGCGTGCCACGTATTCAGGGTGGCCTGCTGGCAGGGTCAGATTACCTAATATGCAAAGTAATGCACAGATTTACTTGTGTGTACTCCCTTATCTGTAGTGAACAATCTCACCTGTTTTTCACATCTTTAATGTGTTGAAACCCATGTGAAATTGTTCATTACAGATTAGTAAGTAAACACAGGTAAGCCCAATGTGTCTTGGTCATCTAGCGCTGCTATAACAGAAATACCACAAGTGGGTGGCTTTAACAAAGAGAAATTTATTGTCTCAGTCTACTAGGCTACAAGTCCAAATTCAGTGCGTCAGCTCCAGGAGAAGGCTTTGTCTGTCGGCTCTGGAGGAAGGTCCGTGTCATCAGTCTTCCTTGGTCTAGGAGCTTCTCTGTGTAGGAACCTCAGGTCCAAAGGACACGCTTTACTCCTAGCACTGCTTTCTTGGTGGTATGAGGTTCCCATGTCTCTCTGCTCACTTCTCTCTTTTATATCTCAAAAGAGATTGGCTTAAGACATTATCTAATCTTAAAGACCTCATCAATGTAACTGCCGCTAATCCATCTTTATTACATCATAGTGATAGAATTTACAACATACAGGGAAATCACATCAAATGACAAAATGGTAGACAGTCATACAATACTGGGAATCATGACCCAGCCAAGTTGACATATTTTTGAGGGACACACTTCAATCCATGACAGCATGCATACCTGCTTACTGGTTACTTCGCCCTTGCCTGCAGGAGTCTGGCTCCCCACAGTCCTCAGGCCTTTACCTCCTAGTGTTCCTTTTTTGCAGGGCATGGGCTAGGCAGCTCTCTGCAGGGTAGGAAGCAGCATGCTGCGCAGGGCCAGGGCCTTGGCGCAGGCTGGGACATGGAGGTGAGGCTCATTCTCTGGCTGAAGTGCAAGACATGCAGGTGGGGTGGGGTGGGGTGGTGCTGAGGGGCACAATGCATGTATACCCATCTGTAGCCTCCTGCCATTTCATCTTTTTTCTTGTCATTATTTCCTAAACAATACAGCGTAACAACTATTTGCATAGCATTTACATTGTATTAGGCAGTATAAGTAATCTAGAGATGATTTAAAGTATGCAGAAGGATGTGCTTAGGTTATATGCAAATGCTATGCCATATTATCTAAGTGAGTTGAGCATCTGCAGATATGGGGGTCCTGGAACCAATCCCCCATGGATACCGAGGGGCGACTGTATTATGTTCCAGTAAAAGTAAAACTTTTTAAAAAAATCAAGAAAGTACTTGTAACAAATATGACGAAGTATCATTACAATAGCTGTTATACACGTATTAGTAAGAAAACACTAACATCCAAAAGCTTACTAGGCTATGGGCATGTGTGGACAACTCACAGAAATTAAATATGAATGACTACTAACGATAAACAAAATTTTTGTCTATTAAAATAATGCACAGCTATGTTTGTTTTAGCTGCTATAAGAGTACAATGAGATGGATAGGTTCATCTGCTGCTCTTGGGAA